ACTGTACCGGACCAACTATCGGGCAAAGATGATAACAAAAGTAATGCTTGAACTTCATCATCAAATTTAATCTCAACCGAACCTAACCTGGATATGATTGAATTAAACTCGTTGACGTGATCTGTTACGGCTGCACCTTCCTTCATTCTCGTGTTCACCAACTGTCTGATTAAGAAAACCTTGTTGGCCGCTGAGGGTTTCTCGTACATGTTGGATAACGCCTTGAGTAGTCCAAACGTTGTTTTCTCGTTGACGATGTTGTAAGCTACGTTTTTCGCCAACGACAACCTCACCACACCAAGAGCCTGTCGATCCAACAAGTTCCACTCCGCCTCCGCCATTGATTCTGGTTTGTTCTCAGACAAGGGTAGATGAAGCTTCTTCTGGTAGAGATAATCCTCGATTTGCATCTTCCAGAAAGCAAAATCTTGACCATCAAATTTATCGATCTTAACCTTCCCTTCGTCAGCCATAGCTCTGATACCACTTGTTACGATTTAGGTTAAGTAAATGATAAATTAAAGAGCAAGAACACAAGAATTTACGTGGTTCACACAATCGGGGTGATTGTGCTAGTCCACGGCGAACGAGAGAGAGTTGTGTATTATTATGTCGGCGTCAAGAGGTATTACACGTACAAAGATGTGTTTAAATAGGTTTAAGAAAACCTAAACAAGGATTAGAGCCGCAGGCCCAAAATTAAGCTCGTAATTAAAAATTACTCCGCAGACCCGGTCGGGTCTCCTATTGTACCCGGTCGGGTGTCTCCTCAAAAGGCATACCCGGGTCGAAACCAGGGCGAGTATCCTAAACAGAGGCCAAAACCTTCCACAGACCCGGTCGGGTAAACCTCCTTACCCGGTCGGGTTTCCAATCCAGAGAGTTGCCCGGCCAAAAACTGCCTCATACCCAATCGGGTGACTGACCCTACCCGGTCGGGTATCTCCTGCTGCTGCAGAAACAAGGCTCCACCTTCAACATTTACATAAAATGTTTTCTTTTACCAAATACTCTAACTTTTAATTTTTCAAAATCATTTTTCTTCACAAACATAATAACTTTTACCATTAATCATTTTGCGTAAGATCTCTAAAATTAATCACTTACAAAAGCATAAGCAAACACAAGTACTCCTATTAATTAGATTCCTACCTCTATTAGCGTTTGTAACTTTTCATGGATTATATTAATAAAAATCTCTTTTTCTAAAAAAAGAATAAATGAGAATGGGCTTAGGCGGGTGAAAAATAAGAAAACGGTCATTATATTGAGGATTAAGCCCTGGAGTTAATCAAGTGGTGAGACAAAGCTAAGTGATTTTTTTTTTGAATGGAAATGGTCTCTATTACATCAATAAATCAAATCACATTACAATAGACTCGATATCATACCAACCCAAGCATAAGTTCAATGATCAGACTTTGACTTTGATCTGCTACCATGTAATGGACAAATTGAAACTTAACATCATCATGTAAGTCTTCATTTCCTATAGTGATTTGAAATACTTACAACTATACCCAAAGCAAAACGAATAAAGAAAAAGTAATGCAAAGTGGTACAGAAATAGGCGAAATTACAAAAAAAAATGACATAATAATGAAATAATAAAGCAACAAGTCATCGTTTTTCATTTATGTCACATCCTAAACTGATTCCATTGCACCTTCAGATCAATCTCAACTTTCTGAAAACCAATGACATTTATTTCAATTTTTGTAATGAATGGGTTGATAAAATTCTCTTATTGTCCAAGTTTAGGCACACATCTCTTACCACAGAAGTTAAGTTTGTCCAAAGATTGACTCTCCAACCCCAAGAGTCTCCCATGTTCCAATCCGATAGAGCATATGAGAAATCGTAAATTATCATGATTTAACCTGTTGTAACCTTGTAGGTAGACTTGACGGTTGAAGTTAAGTAATTCACCATGATTTAACTTCAGCCGTCAAAGACGACGGCTCAAGTTAAGTGTAACTATGCTATGTTGCTACACACAGCTACTACTTCGTACTAGCTAGTTTGGCACGACAATATTGAAAACTAGAATAAGCTAGCCTAGGCCCCATTCGGGATGACAGTACAACCAGTTGCTAACTTGTCGTTATACTCCTCTATTAGTTCATAAAAAGTACAGTACATCAAAACAATTATACATCGTTTAATCAATTCAAACTAAATTGCTCATCAGTCATACCATTGCTAATTACTAAAAAAAACTTAAAACCTCATTTATTTATTTGTTTTCAAAATCTAAAACTGTTGCAAAAACAAAACAAGCAAGTCGAAAACAACACACCTCGATCAATGGGGCCTAGGAAATTTAACCGAAAAGATATGTTCCAAAAAATAGACAAGGAACCGACCCAACCAAATATTTTGGATCATGTCTTAACATTGATGGCGTAGGATTTTTAATTGGGGTGATACTCTAAAACTAATACCTACTCATACATACGGAGTACTATACAAGTTTCTGTTAATTTTTCAGAATAATTTTAACTACTTATTAGAGTTATTAGGACATAATAATTGGAGGCGGGGGGCCGTAACTGCGTGCTAATCTCACAATAAAAATCAAACACACACGCACAAAAGTACATCTACAAACAATTTCATCATACAATGGCTAGAATTGTGTCTGGTCAACTTCATTTTTTATTAAAATCAAATTTGATTATTCTACTTTTTGCTCATTAGTATCGACTACGGAGTATTAGTTTCAAGGGAAAATTCCCGAAATAGGAGTAAACAAGTTTGAAAATTCTAAAATAGGATTGTCATGTTTTTATTCCCAAAATATGAGTAAATACTGTCAAGTTTAATTTGGAAAATACAGTCATATTTAATGTCTGGTACCGTCAATACATGGAAGTGATTAATCCTATTTTGGGAATAAAAATATGATAGTCCTATTTTGAAATATACAAACGTTTTAGTCCTATTTTGAGTAATTTCTCTAGTTTGAATCGTTAGACCCGAACAATTTAAATTTTACCGAGTTTAAGTTCATTTTTAATGAATTAGTTTGACGCTTTGGATAAGTACTGGAGGGGGGAAATGAGTTTTTATCATTATTTGCTTTAAATAATTCCAAATTTAATTGTGAAAAAAATATGTAGTAGGTGATACTGGTTAGGGGTGTTAACGAGCCGAGTCGAGCCCGAACACTTAAAGCTCGAGTTCGGCTCGATAAGGAATTAATGGTGTTCGGGTTCGAGCTCGAAGCTCGACGAGCTTTACAAATGAGGCTCGTGTTCGACTCGATAGGCGTTCGATGTTCGAACCGAGTGCTCAATAACCTCAATAAATATGGTCGACTTAAAATTTTAGGTGATGCTCGTTAATAGGCTCGTGCTCGAATGATTCGACAAGTATTCGATTCGTTAATAAACATATTTAAATTCATAAATTCATACTAATTACATTTAAATATTTATTATATATAAATTATATTTATAATTTTGGGGTCTTCGATAGGCTCGAGTTCAAACCGAGCCAAAAACTACTATGTTCGAGCTCGGCTCGATTAATATTTCGAACTTAAAACTCAGCTCGGATTCGATTCAAAAGCTCGTAAAGCTCGACTCGTTAGGTTCGAAACCGAGCTCGAACTCGAATAGTTCGATAAAAGCTCGATTCGTTAACGGCCCTAATACTGATGAATGTAAAAGAAGTGGATCATTAATTTCCTATGTTGGTTTAAATCGTATGTGCATTAGTGCATGTCAAATGAGAGAATCTAGTTATGTCAAATGCTATAACATTAGATATCAAGGTACATGATATGCAAAATCATATGTTGTGAGAAGTCATATCTCCTTGGATTAATTAAACACATATCCTGAAATTAACCTTATATTTCTCGAAGCTTCAATAAAGTCTTGTGAGATTAATCATATCAATCTCGCGAAATAATATCATATCACTTGAGATTAAAATCAAATCTCGCAAGATTGATCATATCTCGCAAGATAAACCACGTCTTGCAAGATCGTGAATGGGAATCATGTTGGCTTTGCCCATGCAAGTTCATATCCCGCAGTCCACACCAAATGGTTAAGTTCCCTCCTTAACGGAGAAGTTCAAGAGAATTCTAAAATGTTATATTGTTATGGAGATGTCTAGAATACTCAAGAAATGCGTAGAGAAGTATATATTGAATGTTTTCAAATATTCCAGAGTTTTCTAAAGATGTCTAGAATTAGCTACAAGCGTGTGAAAGCATGTAAAATATTCTAAAACATTGTGGACTTTTCTAGAACTGTGTGGATGTGTGTGAAAGCCTCTACAACATTTAAAAAATATGAAATTCTCTAAATTCTTCTAGAAGATTATAGAAGATTGTGGGTACTTCTTAGAAGACACTCTAGAAGTGTGGATGAGAATTGAAAGTTTTAGAGACGACTAAAATGTTGTTGTAGAGATTAGTAGCAAGAGCGATGAGACTTCTCATTCCTATGTAAAATTTGAGTAGAACTCTTAAGAGTGTGAGAGTGAGAGTTTCTTTGAGAGGGGATATAGCCTTCTTGTAAGAGAAGAGAACCCAAAGTGTCCCGTGATGAATGCGGGTGAAGAGAATCATTGTGAGTGAGAGAAGACAATGGGTAAAAAGGTCTCTCATAATTGTAAGAGAGTAAAATAGAATGAAAATGTCCCACATAATACAAAGGGTAAAATAAGTTACACATATACTTGTAAAATATTTCTTTTACACATAATTATATTGTATGATAAAGTCATACTATCATATTGAGTCTTTGGTTGTAAATGAGTGGTTATGTACAAAATTCATATGAGCTCGTGATCCCAGAAGAAGTGTGAGATCACATTTCTCAATTGAGATAAATTGTAAGAGTATTTCACAAGATTCTATCATGCAAAATAAATTATGTCTCACCTTATTAACTCTTCTTTCATAGTTTGAATATGTAGATTTTAATTATTATCATTAATTGCAGGGGTCTAACATTCATAATTCTATGAGCATGATATTGACCTTGGATATTTAATTTATTATTAATGCAGATGATACAATATCACATTTGAAAATTTACATCAAGACAAATCTAAAAACACTTTTCATGAGATAATTTGTAAATACAATAATAACAAATCAATCTGAATTAGTGTTAAGTAAAAATCAACCTGGTAAACCACTCAACCAACCTTGAAATTAAATAAGAACATCTATTTAGATATACTTGATGACAGATTTCCAAACCAATCAAATGTAACCAAAAGGTAATGGTGGTCTGGCAATTATCACCACCGACAGAAACCCTAGACATAGAGCCTTACAGAGTAGCATGCAAACTAGCTAGGGTTCAACACCATTGCATTCATTCGTACGGAAAAATAAAATCACAAATACTTCTCCTTTCTCTTTTCTCCAACATTACAAAATAAGCAATTAATTTAAGTTCGATCATCGCCCCATCATAATAATCACATTAAAATATTAATTAAAATACTCAATACTACGTACGATCAATCATACCACATGTTGGACGGCATTACCCCTGCCGGAAAAGCCTCAATCAATTCCGGAAAATAGTCCTGCCCCGTCTCCGACGAGGGATCTGAAATCTCCGGCGGCGGCCTCCCGTCGGCGAAAAGATCTTCCTCCGCCACTACTTTGCCTCCTCCGTCCGGAAAGACTACATCAGGCTTCTCCCCGGAGGTACCGGGACTCTGGATCTCCGTTGGGAACTTGGATGCGTCCGGCACGTCGGCGTCTTGGCCGGTGAGCTCCTGCACCAAATCTTTAAATTCCGACGGGCTTGTCTCGACCCTCATAGGGTTTGATATGTACACAACTTTGAGCTGCTTAGTGCTTTTCGTCGTCGTTTTCGTCTGCTTCAACGCTTTCTTCTGCTGAACGCTCAAGGGTTTTTCCATTAATTAATAGCTAAGAGCAGCGGAAAATCTGCAAATTCTGATCTTTTGAGAGGGAAATAAATTAAAGAAGACAAAGGAAGGAAGGTCACCTGCAGAAAAATGGAGAAAGTGTACGTTTTGATAATGATAATAAATAAACTAAGGCCCCATTTGATAATATACCCAAATGACTGGATTCTGCTAAATTTGAAGAAACTGTGGTTGAAATGGTTAGATCCGATGATTTTGATGCTATATGGAAAATAAAATGTAAAATATATTTACTTATAAAATAAAGAAAAGATTATATGAAAATATAATTAAAACAATCATCTACGCTAATTTTAGTCAATATTGTCAGAAAAATAACGTCAATCTTACTTTTTCTTATTATATCATAATTCAACATTCGAAATCAAACGTGTTTGATGAAAAAATTTGATCGTGATGATAAAATTACTAATAAAGATAATCTAATACTCCATAAATGAAACGGGACAAAAAATGAACAGTCAACTGGGCTCAAGACAATGACCATTCAAAAAAATTGAAATTTCTTCTTTTATCTCCAGACGCATTTGCTGGCGCGTCATTCCTACTGCACTTTCTGGATTTAGCGAAACAGTACTGGCTAGGCTCCGAGCCAAGGGATAATTAGTTACTTAATTATTATTAATTTTCCTAATAGAGGTGCAAATTCTGCCACGGTGGGACTCCTCATGAGTGCTTAATGTTTTCCACACGTAGTAACTTTGTGAGGTTTAGAAAGGAATATACGGAGATCAGAAAGAACAAAATCGGAGAGAAGCTAGAAAAAGAAGAAGAATAACAAATACTTTGATTTGGTATATGTTTTGTTAAGAGAAAAATACAGAGTAGATGAGATATGGTGGAGCCAAGGAGGTCATGGTGGTAGAACTCACCCACTTACCTCCTAAAAATTTGAGAAGGTAGAACGATGAATTGAAATATCTTCGATTTCATATATTATTAATTGATCTGCTAATTCATTACAATAAAAAAAATTATATTCTCTTGATAAATCCACATCAAATAAACATGGAATTGATATAAGTTGATTCATAATATGTAGTATTAATTATATTCCCAAATTCTCACAATAATGTCACATTCACTCATCATCCACGTGAAATTTATAATATACTCTGTATTACATGTATATTAAACCAATAAGTCTGGAACTTATCTAGAACTAATGTTTTTTCACATACATATGATTAATTAATTATTCAACTCAAATTTTGTCTCAAAGTCATTCCAACTTCATAGTGTATATGACCAAGTAGTTCTGACTCCTCTAACATGGTTTTCTGCCTCCAGTATTCGAAGTATAAGTAATGGTAACTACAAAGTTTGTACTCCCTCCGTTCCTATTTTTTCTCCTATTTCGGCCGGGTACACTAATTAAGAGAGTGAGTTTTGTGTGGTGGAGAATTGTGCAGAGGAGAGAGAAATGTGTAAGAATGTGTAAGAATGATTGTGAACCACAAATACTTTGCCAAAAGGGAAGGAAGAGATAATTTTGGGACGGACGAAAAAGGAAAGTTTGAAGATAATTCAGGGACGGATGGAGTAGTATCACTAGTATGAATTGAAAGAATTGGAAGTACGTACGTACATAAGTATTCCCTCCGTCTCATTTAAATATTTACACTTTCCTTTTTGGGACGTACCATTTATTCCTTTACGTTTCCTATTTAGGAAACTCCTTAAAATTAAATGTGCTAACTACCCTTCACTATCCACCCATTTTTTACATTTGAGTGGATAATATTAATTACCCTCAAAAGTCAAAGGACATATATACAAGACATTTGTTCTTCTATTATTTGATCTCCTAAAATACCGTTCAAAAAACAAACGTCAAGTTCTATCCGGGACGGGGGGAGTACTACGCATATTTGGAGACTAAACTAAAACTTCAAAAACATGCACAAAAGTCCACCGGTAACTTATTTCTCACGTAATTTGCACTTCGCAAAGTCCACCGGGACGGAGATAGTAATATAAAAGGTAAAAAACAAAAAGTTTTGAAAAATTAAAAAAAATAAAAATTAAAAAATTAAAAGATTAAAAAATGTAAAAATTAAAAATTTAAAAATTTAAAAATTTAATTTTAAAAAAATAAAAAATAATAAAAAACTAAAAAATTAAAAATTATAAAAGTTAAAAAGTTAAAAAAAAAAATCAAAAAAAATATGACTCATTACCATATATAGGAGTAATATTTACAATAGTTAGACATGTATCTATTTTTTTTAAGTAAGCTATCAAATAAAGGTAAATTGCGAAAATATTTTAATTAAACCTTTCCTCATATTTCCTCCAACCAAACACAAATTTTTATCAAAAAGCTTCCTTCCCCTTCCCTCTCCTTCCCTCCTTGACTCTCCCGTCCTTTGAACCAAACAAGGCCTTAGGGTTTTGGAATAACTTGATAAGGGTAAGGGCGTAAACAGTAATTCTAGGAATTCCTCCCATTTGTTATAGGCATTCATATATTTAAAAACATCTTTTTTTTATTTAAAACAGCTTACAACCTAATTATCCATTGCTTGAAGTACTCCCTCCGTCCTATAAAATTCTTCTCACTTTCCTTTTTGGGCCGTCCCAAAAAATTCTTCCCACTTATCATTTTTGGACAATTTGTGTTGTTCACATTCATTTCACTCTTTTCTTACACAATCACAACTATGAATTTCCACTTTCTTAATCTCCGTGTCAAGTTAAAGTGGAAAGAATTTTATGGGATGAAGGTAGTAGTTTATAAAAGAAGTCATATGTGGGCAAGCATTATAATATAATATCATTAGTAAGGTTAGTAGACTGTAATCTATTGCCTTGGAAGCCTATCCAGATCTTTTTGGTCGTAAATTTATTGTTTCCCATTAAAATAATTGATATATAAATACCATTCCTTTTTGAAATTAAAACGCAAACAAAGCTCATCAAACGTCCTACATTTCAGTTAATTTCAAATTATAATGGTTCAAGTATACTTTTATGTTTTTTTTGTTAGAAAGTTGCTTTATACAAAATAAGTGGAATGATACCATAGTGTTCATCTAAGACATCAAAAAGGGAAAAAGACAAAATAACTAATATCAACCCAAAAAAACGCCTTACTATCTCTTAGATTTTTTTTTTACTTTGTAAACTTGATGCTTTTGAATGGTTATAGTTTTAATAAGACTGGTTCATTGTAAACGTCTTGCCCTATGCCGCCGCTTGAACGACCGTTTATCAGAACCACCGCCTTGCCGGTGTGTTCCATCATTAAAAAAATGAAGACCACTGATATGGGATTTCTTACCATTTCTTAGACAACTCTACAGAATTGTCTGTGTACAGACAATCAGGGGCGGAGCCATGATTTAGTCATAGCGGGGGGCCAAAAAGGAACCCAAAGAACAAAGAAAAAATTCTCTAAATAGGATTAAAATAAAAATAAATTTCATAAATAGGATAATCATTGTTTTATTATCAAAATAGGACTTATTCACTCATATTTTGGCAAACTCTAATCAAAATTTTTTTAATAGAACTAAATAAAATCTATTTAAGGAGTAAAACATATTTTGTCATATTTTTAATCATATATATGTAATTATTTCATTTGGAATGATCCTGTCAGAATTACCTGACGGGATCCACTGTCCGGATGCATACGTTTGTGGTGCTTCTGAATGAAATTTTTTGATAAAATTTTGTGACAATGTTCTTCATGGTATGTAGATTATTCAAATCAAATTTCGGTTTAAAACTCAATCGGCAAGTCGATTAATTAAATTATTGAGAAACAATGCGCCAAAAAATAAATAAAAAATGCAATATTTTTTCATAATTTATTTAATGGACTTCCCGATTGAAATATAAGATGAAATTCGGTGGATGTAATCTACACTTTAAGAAATACATGTTCACAAAAGTTCATCAAAAAGTTCTATCCGAGAGCATCTCAAATGCAAGCTTCTATCCGGTAATTTTGACCCATTTTTTCTTATTTCATATGTAATACTAATACTACTAAAAAAAGGTTGGGAGGGGTCATGGCCCCCCTACCCATACACACACCTCCGTCCCTGCAGATAATGGTGTGTGCGTGAGACACACGAATGTACGAAATGTGTACACCAAAATGTGTACACCTACCACTCTTGCATGTCTTAATATCCAAATTTTGTATATGGGAAAATCTTCATATGGACTCCATGTGCACATTTCTGGGAGCACATAGCAACCAAACCAAAAGGAGAGGGAAAATGAAATAAAACAACCTTCTTTTAAGTTTATATCGCTCAAGCTTCTTTTATTATTATCTTCAAATGGTTCAAAACCGAACCTCATACTCCATGTCTCCACTAAAGTGGGAATTGCAGAAATCACTAGTGTCTCTACCTTGATTTTAAAATCTAGAACCACCGTTCAAGTTAATCCATATAAGTGCATAATACATAAAGCTTAAAGCATCAAACCCATTCCCACGCCACAGAATTTGATATTGATGACACAAACAAAATATGGGGTGCCTATACTTTTAAGTTTTAAGTGAGCTATAATTGATATAAAAGATACGCAGTAAGATTATTAAAGTTTTAAAAATCACAGAAATATAGTTAACTTAGTTCAGTACTCCATAGTATTATAATTTCTTATTCTGATTAGGCTCGAGGTTTAGATTTCAGATTCTTGCCAAGTCCACTATTTCCTTATGGTTGGTAGATTCTATGGTACCGATACGGTAACATACTTTTGTCCACATTGTTCAATCAGAATGTAGCGGTTGAATTATTTAAATCTAAATTAAAAATGATAAAGTGATGTGGTCCAATCAAATGAATGATGGGTACAGTACTCCGTTTTATAGAAAGGTACCGGAGTTGTCATAAATGAAGTTGTAGATTAAGTCATATATCAATAAAGCTAGCAGGTATTATTTGACAAAGATATTTGATTTTATATGCATTATGCATATATATACCTAGGGGTGGGCATTTCGGTTTTCAGTTCGGTTTTCTTCGGTTTCGGTTCGGTTTCGGTTTAATCGGTTTGATAGAAAATGTACCAAATACAAACCGATTAATTTTCGGTTTGGTTTCGGTTTGGTATGGTTCGGTTCGGTTTGGAGTTCGGTTTACCAAAG